TGAATATTCATTCTTGATTATAAGCTTATTAAGTGCTCAGTAATTAATACACATTCATCATTTCTCACCTGTCTTTTTCATGAATAGAACTGAAAAGTCTCACACACTTGATGAGAGTTGTATGAGATCACATTCTAGAAGGTTGATGATCTGACACTTCTGTTCTTTGAGATGTATTTGTGACAGAGAGTACACATTCTGATTGACTGGTTTTGCATCCTCTGTGTCAATCTCATGTATGAATTCTTATTCTGGCAGTAATTCTGGTGAAAGATCTGTTCAGAAGACCTTCTCATACTTCTTCAGAAGCTTCTTCATACACTTGTTCTCCTGCATATTCTTTATCTTGGTTTTCTTCACTTTCAGGTCCTGTATGACATACAGAATACTTTCAGATGAGGTCTTGTGAATCATTCTCTTTGCTTATTGATGTGTAAGCAGATTTAATCCTTCTATATCAGAGACATGAAATGTCCTTCTCATATCAGTTGATAGAATCATATGAATCATTTTCTTCCTATCAGTCAACTGTATATAACATGTACATCATTGAATCTCATCAAGAACTTCATTAAAAGATGTTTTTAATTATAGTATTTTATCCACCGCTCCACCACGAAATCGCTCGATTTTTCGAATAAGAACCCGCCGATAGATCCATCGAAAAGCCCTCGATCATACGAGCATTTTGACCCCATCGCCGACCGCATACCCCGTGTGGTGGTGGAGTTATCCAGCCAAATGTGAACTGGACGTTGTTCAAAGCTCCTGTGTGGGATTATCCCCCGTTCTCCCCTACCACACCACAACCCCGGGCCAGAGTGCCATACAAATTGTAAGGTGAAGTGACCTAGCCATATGCACCAATCTTCTCGATTTTGGAAGATCCCCGACCTGTAGTTGTGGAGATATCCGAGGAGCGACCTCCGCGAAAACCCTGTCCATCTTTGATGTTCCAAAACACCAACGCCAAGTCTCACCCTCGTACCGCCCTTCCCAATCTGGCCCATCCCCGGCAGAAAAATACAAAAAGATACCTCAGTGATAATATCAAGTACATAATCAATGAACTCTTCTGAAGTGCAACCTCCACAGTCCGCCGCCAGTGTATCTAGACTTCAACACCAAGTCTCACCCCTGTACTACCCCTCTCAATCTGGCCCATCTTCAGCAGAACAATACAAAAAGATACCTTGGCAACAGTATTCAATACATAATCAGTGAATAATGAGTCAACAGCATATCAAGAACTATAAAATCAGTATATCTCAAGATCTGACTGAGCCTTTGATCCCTGCACAGTGAGATATATTAAATCTAGTTTTAATATCTCAATATTCAATAGATTCTGTAAGAGATTGAGAACAGCAACACTAGATTTCTATTGAATTTAAGAATTAACTCTATATTGATATAATCATTGACAAAGTCTTCTATTTTGAGATATAAATAACCAGTTCCTCTACATCCCACTGATAATATTTATATTATTATATAGAAATAGACTTATATTCTCTATAATATCAAGACTCTGAAGAGAGAAAGTCTTGATAGAAGATATACAGTAGTGCATATCTTAGCAGTTTCTATCTCATTCTTCTACAGCAGTTAATGCAAAAAAAAAGATCTTAGAAATAGTTTTTTACTTCTCTTGAAAAAGTAAGGTGTTTTTCTCTGAGTTTTATACAATATTCTTACAAAGAATTAAAAACAGAGTTGTTTTCTGTCATAATTTCATATTCTTTTAAGTAAGAATTACTTTTTCAGTGACTGAAGAGCTTTCATTAATACTTAATTCTTTTTTACACTCTTTATTAACTGATTTGAGTTGCACACTTGTTGTGTGAGAAGAATTAAATAATTTAGAATAAATTGAATAGTTTTAATCAATTTCTCTGCAAAAAATTGATTTATTTTTTGTCAGTTTTTCTCTCAAAAACTGTCATATTATCTGATTTATTATCAATTGATATCATACTTTTTCTCACTGTATTTCAAGAAAGAGATTGTAAAGATTTTATTGATTTATCTTAAAAATCAATTTTAGTTTATTAGATTCTCTTCAAAAATCTAATCTAGTTACTGAACTAGTGTGAAAAAAATCAGATGTTTTATACACAAAAGTCTTTTATTCTTCTTTTGAAACAGTCTGATCAACTTTTCAATTGAAAACAGACTTAGAAATATCTCAATTGAAACAGTCTGATCAACTTTTCATTGAGTGAAAATAATGAGTTCAAAAATACACTCAGTTGATGTGGAAAAAGATGCTTTCTCAAATGCTATTTCTGAGATTGAAATTCTGAAGAGAAGAAAGAAAGAAGAAATAGAGAAACAATAAGTTCTTAAAATACAGAAACTTGAAAAAGTAAGCAAGATTCTTGAAAAGCAGTGTCTGAGTGAGATGAATAAAGAAGTTCTGTTAATTCTTTATACTCAGACTAGATAACTACAGAAGATGATCAAGTTCAAACTTGAAATCTCAAACACAGTTCAAAAAACCTTGAAAATTTCTAGTATAATCACTGACTCTTCATCTTACTCTTCTTCTTTCTTTCTTTCTACTTCTTCTTCTTCTTTGAATCAGAAGAAAACATATACTCAAGCAGCTGAATCTGCTGTCTCTAAATCTGCTATCTCAAAACCTGCTCAAAATCCTGAGAAAACTGAGAAGAATACTGCTCATGCCTCTATTCATAGAAAAGTAAAAAAGAAAATGTAAAAAGAGAAAAACTTTCAAATCTTCAGAAATAGAAGACTTATTCTCAAAGTCTCAAATCAGGACATTCTGTAAAGAAACAAGCTAAACTCAAATCTCATTTTCAGAATCAGAAATGAAATTAATCAGCAGTTCTTTTCTCAGTTGATAACTGATATTGAAGTTCAAAAATCAGTTATAGCTTTAATTAAGCTATCATTCTTTGAAAACTTCATCATTCTGACTACAATGCCTGAATTCAGTGCTGAATTTCTTATTCAGAATGAGAATCTCTGAAAGTCAGTAGTAGAATCTTTGCTAAACACAACTATTCTATCTGAAAGAGATGAAAAGTGAGATAAATTCATTCTTCATGATATTTCAGTTGAAATTTTTGACTGTGAAGAAGAAATGCTACTTCTTAAAAATGAATTGAAAGAATACAACTTTATTCAACTGAGAAAGAAGTCTGTATGACTAAACTCAATTGAGTTTAGATAAAGCAGGAGAAATGCCTCTGTTCTAGTATATATAAAAATACTTGAACAGTCAAAGATCTCTGAAGTAAGAGTAGCAGATTTGAAAATGAGAGTTCATGAATACAAAGACTCAAGAATGAATCTCAAAGCTCAAACACAGTGTTCAAACTGTCAAAGATATGAATACTTTGCAATCTCATGTTTTAGAGACTCAAAATATGCATTCTGTGCCAGAGATCACAAAACTAGTGAGTATAAATGTGAAACATGCTTAAAAAGAGATGAAATTTGTCAATATACTCTGCTTAAGTGCTCTAATTGTAAAGAAAAACATGCATCTAGCTTAAAAGAATGTATATTTGCTTCTAGAACTCAAAAGAACTGAAGAAAAGATGAAGCTCAAAGTTAATCTAGAACTGAAGAGAAGAGTCAAGTCAGTAAACTCATAACTGCAAGCTTAAAAAGAAGAAACTCTCAATTATCTAAGTCTTCAAACTTCAATTCTTCAGTGAAATGTAAACAGAATTTGAATTCTTAAACTTCTGTTAAGATTAGAGAATTGAGAAATGACTCTGATGATAAACTAGATATAATACAAGCAGTTGAGATTTCTACTTTTCAGAACAGTTATAATCTACTATCTGATAATAGTAATTAGATTCTACTCTACTCTCTTTTAGTATAAATATATAATAAAAACAATAAAAAAAGTTTAAAAACTCTTCAAAAATCACATTTATTTAAAATAATGTGAATAGAAACTCAAATTGTATTTATTCTTGTCTTTAAATTGCATTTGAATAAAAAGTTAATTTTATACTGCTTCAGGAGCTGAATTTTGATGCTGAGTAAAAATATGTCATTTCTCATTCAAGCTACTTGTAGCGTACGCCGCTACGTAGGGTCAGATATAAGGGTAAAAACTTGTCTTATTCTCTTAAAGATGGGAGATGGGCGTACGCCCTTATATATACAGTGATTGTTCTATAGAGATTAGCTCTTGTAGAAGGGGTGATTGCCTATGAAGAGAAGGACAGAGGCTCTGTAGAGAAGGAGCAGATGCTCTCATAGAAGAAGTGATTGCATATGAAGAAAAGAATGAAGGCTCTGTAGAGAAGGAGTGAAAGCTCTCATAGAAGAAGTGATCACATATGAAGGAAAGAACAGAGAGAGAAGGTAGAAGTGAAAGCTTCAGAAAACAGCAAGGGATGAAGTGAAAGCTAGAGCTGAATAGAGGATTGACTTGAATAGAGAGTGGAAGCACGCCACAGTCTCTCTATCTGAAAGAATGTGTTCATGAAGAAGAAAAAAATGACATTGAAAAAAGATGGCAGATATCACAGGTGCTAGGCTCAAAGAAGTGAATATTGTTCAGAAGTGCTAGTCTGTTTACATATACTGCAGATATCATAGAAAAGAGAAGACTGAGTGATAGAATCACTTATTCATACAAAGAATGATCAGATGTAAGAATTGTTTATCTCTATAAAGAATGAAAGATGTAAGAATGACTTGAAAAGAAATGATAAGAAAGAGACAGAAGTTCTTTAATCTAAAAACAGCTGTAAGAAAAGAAAGGGATTGTAAAGAAATCACAAGAAGCTTGAATGAGAAAGAGTTCTTTGATAAGATAGATGAGAATGAAAGTTTCATTGTAGTGAGAAGAAGATTCTGTGAGTGATAGAGATTGATATAGATGAATGATTGCATCAATATATATATCATGATCACTTTCTCCTTATTCTTCTCTTATTTCTCACACATCTCACTAAAATTTAACATAGTGAAATTAGTGAAAATCATGACATATGAAAGATTAGATCATGGAAATGATGAGCCTCAAGAAGAAGTTGACAGCTGTGAAGACAGGCGCAGCAAGCATGGTGAAAAAGGCCTTGATCTTAGAGAAATTGTTTCAGTTGTTAAGTCAGAAGAAGTGTGATACTCTTCTTCATATAAGTGATAGAGAAGAGGAGACGGGCGAGAAGACTGGTGAAGAGAGAATAGATGAGAATGAGGTGAAAGAAAATGATAAAGATGAAGAGTTAGGATTCTGAACAGATGAGCTTCTGACACTATCAACTTATCTTTTCATGTATGAAGTGGTCAAAGGCCAAGATAAAGAAAAGACAGTGATATCTCATTGTCACTCAGCTAGACTGCATGATGCCGCTGCAGAAGAGTCAACAGATGAATTGCATGATAGAAGCTTGAAGAGTCAAGAAGAGTCTAAGACTGTGATGCAAAAGCTTATAACACTGTTTACTCATTTGAAAAAGTTGTGATCATTCACACACCAGTTTTCAGAAGAAGATGTTGAGATGAATGAGAGAGGAGAGAGTCAGAAGACTGCTATGAGAGCAGCTGGTGATGAAGGGCTGTAAGTAGAACTGAAAGTGAAAGCTGAATGAGCAGATATGAATGCTGAAGAACTGTCACTGACAGAAGAGAACAAGAAGTGCTGAAGAGCTAGTTAAAAGCAATATGAAACTCTGAGTGATAATGTTTTGAAAAAGTCAGAGTGAAAGAAGAATGTTGAGAGTGATCAGGTGCCTTGGCTGTATGACACAGCATGTATGAGACATCTGCATTATAATGACAAGACTGACTTACACTTTCAGCAGAATGGCAAGCTCACTTGCCTGAGTATGTCAATCATGCAGGACTCAACTGTGAAGGGGCTTACAAATGCTATCTCAATCATTGAAAGACTCACAGAATGTAGTGAGGAGATGCCATTTATCAATCATGAATTTTTTATTTTATTCAGTCAGTGATTGATTAAAGATTTGAGACAGTTATCTGTCAAGTGAAAGTTGTGCTGATGAATGAATAATGATGAGCTAATCACTTCATGAACTGTTGATTCTAAGAATTCTGCTAATTGAGATGTTATTATTCTGCAGACCTGCAGAGAAATAGCTTCTGTGTTGTGTCAGTGTTGTGTGAAGAGTCAGGGGTGATTTGAGAAATGTATGGTCATCTCTGCAGATAATAAACAGACACAGCAAGGGCATGGCACTTGTGCTAACTATTAGTGAGAAAATAAGGGGTTCTGCTGCTCTTTAAATTGCTGTAGCTGATATGAACTCAGGTGAAATGTGAATAACTTGCTGTTTGAAGAGAGTGTGCCTGGATTTGAAAAGACTGTGGCTGAGGAGATGAATGTTGATGATATTATTAAGATCAGTGATACAGAGAAGAAGGATGATTTGACTATAGTTTCAATGAAGAAAATGTCTATGTCTTTCAAGTGCAAGGTATTGAGTCTGATTGCACTGAAACTCTTGAAATATGTTTGAATCAGTGAGTGAGGTATCTTGACATCTGTGAAGGTGAGTAATGAGATGAAGACAAGTCATTTGACCCCTGCTAAGATGATCAATGAGGCCAAGATGAGTGATATGTGATGATTGTTAATCCTGTCTTCTGAAGACTGCACAGTTGATTATAGAGCTCAAGATCTGAAGGTGCTGAGGTGGCTGCCTAATCTTGACAAGTATAATCTGAATGCTGTTCAGGCCGCATGAAAGGAACTGAATAAGATAGCTGAGTTCATTAATGTGGTTTCAGCTGCAGGGAATACTGTGACTAATAATTATTTCTTTAAGTTGCTCAGCAGGGTGTATTTCAGCAATCTTGTGAATGAGAGATTGTCAGTGAATGTTGTATTTTAAGACACATGTCTTGCTGAGCAGAAGGTCAAGCTGCAGGAAGAGCTTGAAGATAATTGATAAGAAGAGGTGAGATGAAATGATGAAAAGAATGAAAGATGATGATTTTCTTGTTTTCTTTATTTTCTCATTTGATAGCTAAAATTAGATTGTAATACATTTTCTTTCTTTCTTTCACTCTGTCTCTATTTTACTTTTCTTTCTATTGTTTACTCGGCTGACTGTAAGACTTCTTGATCATGAAGGCCTTGACCAGGTGCAGAGTGTCTTATGTGATGACTTTAAGAGGCTTTCAGATCAGGTCTTCATATTTCTTTCACTTAATCTGGAGATAAGTCTTGCTGTTCTCTGTGTGCTTTCTTATGATGTTTTCAACTTCAAATTGTGACTGATCATCAATAAGTACTGATTCTGATAATGAGTGCTTCATATCTGCTTCTGTTAATATGATTTTTTTCAGATAAATGATGAAGATTACTGAGTGCATTTGTCAACTGACTGACAGTTTCAATTGAAATATGACATCTGATACTTTCTAAAGGATGTGAAATGAGCCTATCTGTAAGAGTGATAGCTTGAATGTCTCTTTTAATATATAGCTCTTTTGGGCTTTTTGAGTGAGATTCAAGAAGACTCAATTGTCAACCTGAATAGTTGATTGAGAATGAGATTGATCAAAGAACTCAGTCATTCTAGCTTTTATCAGAGTGTATGAGTCAAGAATGTCTTGCTGCATTACATCTTATGTGATGATGAACTCAGCTACATCTAGCAGAGCTTTCTCATTGTTCAATGACAGTCATCTAGACTTTACACCTGTGAGCAATTTGAAGAGAGAGATCATTGCTGACTATACAGCTACTGAGTTTAACACTCTTTTCACTTGTTCAAGCAGAGTAGTTCAATTTGCTTCATATTCATCTATAAGAAGTGTTCACAATGTGACTTCAACTGTGAGATTGATTTACTTATTTTAACTGTTTGAGTGAGAATTGTAGACAGTTGTCATTCATGCCTTAATTCCCATGAGTTGAAGAACTGACTTTCAAAATTGTGATGTAAATTTGAAGTCTCTATCTGAAATAATTGTCAGTGAGGGCTGTCAGTGATAGATCATCTTCTTATAGAAGTCTTTCACTCATTGTGAAGCATCTCATCATTTCTGTCCTGTAATTAGAATTACTGCTTTCAAAAATTTGTCTGTGACTGTCAATATAGTGTCATGATTGTCACTCACAGGTAATTCTGTAATAAAATCAATTGAAAGAACTTTAAACAGCTGTTTTGAGAATGAGATGAGGTGTAATTTGCCCTCTGATGAGTGATTCAGTGATTTGACTAGTTGATAATTGAGGTATCATAATAGATGGTCCAGGATTCTCTTTCAGGCATGGGAAAGGAAGAAGAACTGATGAATAAGATTTTTCATTCAATGAAGGCCAGGGTGACCTGCTGTGTTATAGCACATATGAATGATGTCTCACACCAGTAATTTGAGAATACAGAGATGTGATTCTTTGAAGAACAATAGCTTGTCTCACACTGTAAATAACTGGTATCACTCTTTCTGACTGATCTTGTGAAAGACCTTTCTCAATGCTGAGTTACAGGGAATATCTCAGTGTAGTTGCTTTTTGAATTTGTCAGTGAGCTCTATCACTGTAGTTGAAACTATACATATCTTCACTGAAGATGTATCTGTCATTGATCTATCTGTCTGATTAATGATGGTCTGATGAATTTTTTTCTGCTCTTCAGAGGAAATCTCTTCTGAATCATTATCTAGACAGCACAACCTGAATAGAGTGTCAGTATTAGTATGTGCAGTGCTCTTATGATAGCAGATTATCATCTGTGAGAGATATGAGCTTAGAACTAAGGCTCAATTTGTCAGTTGATTGCTATGATGACCTATTGCCAGCAACTGAAAAGCAGACATAAGAGTGATATAATCTGTGACAACTGTAAACTCACTGTTTAAATACTGTGATAATTTCCACAGAGCTCATATAAGTTCAAGACACTTCAATTCAGTTACTCAGTAGTGCTTTTCAGTCACACTCAATTGATAAGAGAGAAATAGAACAGATCTTTCAATGTTATTCATTCTGACTTGATGTAGAGCTACTCTAATATCTCTTTGCTTGCTGGTGTTCACATACAATATGAAGGGATATTTAAAGTTGGGATATGCCCAGGTGAGGGTGTTCATCAAGGCTTGCTTTACCATGTCAAATGAATGTCTGGCTTTCACAAGCAGAGTGTGAAACTGCAGTGAGTTCTCAAATCTCATCAACTTGATCTTAGCTGCATATGATACTCTTTTCTGGCCTGTTTTTGAACTGTTATACAGTAACTTGATCTTGAGAGTCTCTAATGCTTTCATCTGATCTGTATAAAAACTGACAAAATTGTGATAATAATTGAAGAGGCTGATGATTCCTTCTAGTTCTCTGAGTATTATAGAGAAGACTAGATTAGTAATAGCAGCTACTTTCTCTTCTTGAGTAGATATGTCTAGTCAGCTGACATGGTGACTCAGCAAATGCACTGAGAAGTACATGAAATGACATTTAGTTAATGACATTGTTATTTCAGATGTCTCAAGAGCTGTGAAGACTTGCTGTATATGATGAAGATATTCATTCAGTGAGTGAGAGAAGATGATGATATTGTCTATATAGACTAATGTGAATTGTCATAGAAATTTTGCTAGAATCTTCTTTATACACTGTTGAAAGAACTCAGATGAGGTTATCAATCTCATTGTGACAACTATAAAACATTCAAGACCTCAGTGCAGAGTCATGAATGTGGTTTTGAAATAATCACTCTGTTCAATTGCTTGTTGAAAGAAGCCTTGATGAATATTCATGAATGAGAATACTGTAGAACTGCTGAGTGATTGCAACACATCTTATTATGTTGATAGAGAGTATGCATTGAGAAGTAAGTGTGTATTTACTTTTTACAAATCAATCATCACTCTTGGCTTTTCTCTAAGTCAGATCACAAAGATGGGTGAAGCAATGAGATTTCTGTCTCTGAGAAGAACATATTTGATTCTTCTATCTTGTAGAAGCAGGTTCAGGATCTGATCAGTGACTTTGCAATCTCTTTGAGACAGAGAATAGAGTCTCTGTTTCAGGCCAGAAAAGTTGCTCTCATCAATGAACTGCAGTGACATCTTAACATCATCTGAAAATAAGCCTAGGCTGGAGCTAAATAGTTTGTGGTGTCAGTCAATGATTACTTGAATGACTGCTTGATCTTCTGCTGCTCAGTGATCTGATATGTCTGCTTGAACTCACTTAATGAGAGTGTCTGCTGTGGGAATTTGAAGCAGATTATTCTGGTCTTCTGCATTCATCAAATGTAATTCA